TAGGATTTTCACAGATTTCAGATGCATTGAATATATATTCAATGCATCTGAAATCATATATATGAATATATTTTTTTATTATCCATACCCTTTTCATCGTTCTCACTGTACATTTATCTGCTAGAAATTAGCATTGAGTTGGAAGAAAAATACAGATATATGACTTGGTATCTTTTGGAAGCCCCACATTACAGGATTCTCATTGAATTTAACTGTCAACTGAGGAACTCAGCTTGAAATAATGACAATTACGGGCTAGGTTGGAAATAAATCTTTTTTTGAGTTTGTAAATGAACCATCAGTCAGTAGCTAACATTATGTGTTCACAATTTTGTCTTTATCAGAGTGTAAATGCAATGAGCATGCTGACAGTTGCCACTTTGACTTTGATGTATGGCTGGCATCAGGGAACCGTAGTGGAGGAGTTTGTGATAACTGCCAGCATAATACTGAAGGTATTAACTGCCAGAGATGCAAGCCTGGTTTCTTCCGTGACTGGAATGTACAATTTTCTGCCCAAGAGGCCTGCAAAGGTACTGTGACAATGTATCTAATACCGCATGATTCCTTAATTCGTTCTAAAAAATAAAAGCTGATTATATATTGTTTTGTAAATGTATTTTATGTGTTGTTTTTTTTTAACTGCAAGCCACCACTTTTTTGTGACAGTTTTTTTTTTTTGTGAGAGCTCATTTCCTAGTAACAGTCTTCACATGTTTGAGTACAATTATCCGAAGCAAAAAACTGGGACAGCATTCCCTATTCCATTGAAAGATTTCAATGCCGTTCAGGAACTGCCCTCATGTGGACAACAGGGCTATTAATCTCCATTTCTTACAAATCATGGAATCTAAACAAAGGGTCTGAACAACAGCTGGTTACTATTGAAGTGGTCATTTTGTCTGGTACTTAAAGTGGTGCTGAAAACAGCTCCATGTGCCAGCACTATGCCTTCTGTGAGCAATGTGCCTGTAATAATATGGACACGTTGTTTTAGCAATTATTTATAAATGTGTATTGTGCTTCCCATATCTTGCATAAGACCGGAGTCCTAAGGTGATCTTTAAATTGCACAATGTGTATTTTCTATTCAGTAAACCTTGTACCTGTAGAAAGAAAGCAGAGAGAAGGCCACACCACACTCTGATGATACATCTTCGAAAGGCGTGTACTTGTTTCTGGGAGTTTTTATTTTTAGAAATGACAAAACATTTGCAGATCCTTTGATAACCACAGTTCTTAGTGAACTCATTTGCTTGACTTGAGCCACTTAATAACAAAAGCTTATTTTCAATATTATTCTTTCCTTATGGCTGAGAGAAAGGACATATTCAGAAGTCTGAATATGCACATATTTAACATTTTTATTAAATACGGTTTTAGAAATTCTTAACAGGTATACATCTTGCTATATATCTAGTTTGTTCACCCTGACAACCTGTACGTCGATGACCTACTGTTGTGTAGTAGCATAGTTTTATACAACCCCTACATTGGTTTGAAATTTTTTTTTTAAGTTTCACTTTCAGTGAAGGAACAACTTAAAGTGTATGTAACCCTAAAAATTAATAATCTATATATGTGTTTGGTTACTCATACACTGCTTAGTAAATGTAGCCTGTGTCATTTTTATGTGTATGTTTCTGCTAAATACCTGGTGATCCTGCACAAGGTATTTAGCAGACAAATCTGTGCGGGCATGGTCAGTTTGTGTCCCTGGGGTCGCTGCTCACAGGGCCCTGGGGAAGGGGGGGGGGTATTGTCTGTTTATTATGCAGGTAGGCTGTGTTACATCACAGACAACAGGGAGGTGTTCCCTGTGTGTTTTGGGAATGCATTGACTGCTGGAAAGGTGGAAGCTGAAACCGATATCGGCAATGAATGTGCCAGATATCGTTTTTGTGTCTACACATCCTCCCATCCCTGCTGTCAATCAACCCAGCGGGGATGGGGGGAATGTGTTTTGTTTGTTTTGTACTATGTTCACAAATGGTTTAAAGTTTAATGCTACTTTTTACAACTGCTCCAAAGTTAACCCTTTCAACTGTTAAATTTCCACAAAATTGGTCTTCTGCAGTACTTACTGTAAACATGGCCCTGGGAAACCAATTCTTTAATCTCTGAAGGGGAAATCTGTATTACACGCATACCTCTGGGTCCAGTTTTATGCATAGCAATGTCTTATATATTTAGCATGCTTTTATATTTTGCCTATAAAACCCTTTATTGAGAAATGTTAGTAAATTTGCTGTTACCGAAATCAATCTATATAATACCCTAACAAATACAGAGGTTTAGCACAATGAACCAGCATCTGTGCCCTAACTCTAGGTTAGTGAGGATGTTAGCACACTTGGGCTATGCTTTATATTAATACAGTATCATTCAATTGTGGCTAGAAGTTAATCCTTCACACTAGGTAGAATTGTTTGTGCACATATTACCTCATTCTGTGCAGGTGTCTGGCTTCTCAGCAAACAGGTGGGGAATGTGGAAGCAAATGTTACTTGCATGAAAAAAATCAGGTGTCACAGCCAAGGTAAACAGAGACAAAATGCAGATTGTTATAGAGAGATTACACAAGTTTAAATAGCTCAGGCCTTTTAAATAATAAACACATTGCGATGGAATACATGTCAGTCAAAGTACCGCAGCGCTGAATACTGAAAAATGGCCTGGATGGGAAGGGGGTTTAACACCGCGGATGTCAACTGGTTAAACTGTAAGTAATATTGTAAAGACTAGGTATTTATTCTTAAATAACAACTAGAAATACTGGTCACATTTTCATGTAATGGCAGCCGTGCCCTGTGAAGTTTTCACAGCTTAGGCTGCATGCTTATGTCACAGTTTTAAAAGGACAAGTCACTAGGTCAAAGACTAGTCTACTCTTCTTAGCCCTCTAACCTAGAAAACTCCCACTCAGCTGCTTACATACCTCAGCATGAAAGGCACACTATTTGCATCCTTCACACGAAAATCTTTGGTGCTGGCCATGCCTGGCCAGTGAGTCCCCATAAAATTGAGGTGGACTGTACTTTGAGGGTCTCCAGTCTAGGAGTCCTTTAAAACCTATTCGGGTTCACCATCCAGTTGAAGAAATGGAGGTTTTACAAGGAAAGCATAGGCCTGATCTTTTTTTCTGGATATTGAAGCATGAACTATTGTTGAGTCCAGTTTGCACCAATGATGCAACAGTGAAAAGCAATTTTTAAAGGTACTGTATTATCCGTATGCTTTTTTATTCTTACCTGAGTTGAGAAAGGATTAAAAGATATTTTTTTTGTAGGGGTTGAGATAACAAAATTAATATATATGTTATTTCTGGGTTTTGTGACAGTGGACTGGTCCTCTTCTGTCCAGCACTGAAACGTGGGTGGGCACATGTCATTATGTATAATCAAGGACCAGTGGTGGGAGCTGGTCCTACATTGCACAATGATGTCAACCAGAGGGGGGTTGGAAAGACCAGACAACTCATTTAATAACTGGAGAAACAGATCTTAAACAGCTAAGAACTAAGCCCTACTCATCCATTGTAAATCCAGACATCTAGTTGTGGAAAGCCTAGTGAACTGAATCTGAGTTGGTGGAGTGCTGGACTTCAGAGTAAGCAGATCTTAGGATAGAGGCTGTTGGAGGCAGCTCTGTCAACCGAGGTGTCCCAGAGGTTCCCTGGAATAGTCTGTGCATAAAAAGTATGAGAGTGCCACAAAATCTTGAATGAATTCAGTAAGAATTTATCATGGCAAGAAGTCAAACAGTCAATGCGTTTCAGGAGTTAAGAATACCCCCGCATCAAGGATAAGAAACAAGACAACATGAAACAGTTTAAAACTGAAGATCTAAAATTACAGACATTATGAACTCAGAATCTGTTGTGAAACCACCTAGTATAAAACATTATATAAATAGAATCTATGATATGGGATGCTATGTATTATACTCTAAAAACATCAGTGTTACTTGGTTGTAACTGTCCATCTGACAATCTGAATCACTACCTTAGTGAAAGCATAACTGTAATCCCAGGTGTTCTTTACTCTGCACATCAATTCCACTGATTATCATGTTTTCAATCATTTAACATCCTATTAACTATTGTATACACTGTGCTGGGTATTTTGCTACTATCTTCATATACTGTACACTGTTTCCTACTATCTACAACAAATTTATGTTTTTTTTCAGTATAAAGATAGGGGACCTTTTTTTTTAAAATTCAACAAATTAGATATTATCAGTTTATGTTCCTATTATGCCTGTATCACCATTGATTTTATTTTATTTTGTTTTACATATATAGTTACAACTATTTTTCCATAAAACAGATGTTTTTATAGTGTAATACATAGTTTTCCATGTAATTGATTCTATTTATATAATTTTTTATACAAGGTTGCTTCACAACAGATTGTGTGTTTGTAATAAACTGCACTTTTAGATTCTCAGTTTCTATGTTTGCTCATTTCTTAGCCGAGATAAAATGGGGTTCTGAATCCCCAAAATGCACTGGGTGTTTGACTTCTTGTCATGGTAAATACATTCTTACTGAACTCATTCAAGTTTCTGTGGCACTCTCATCCTTTTTACGCACTAATGAACACCTACAGGGATGCCATCTTTCTCAATCCTAGTATAAGACATGTTACTCTCTAGCGTATACAGTGCAGACTGCAGATCACTGCACACAGAAAGATGTGCACACTATGTCCTAAGCCTTTGATGAATACTTCTAACCCTTTTGCTGCCAGAGCCTTTTTTGCATGCATATTCAAATGCACATTTTAGGGCTAAAAAAGGACTCAAAGCCGTGGTGTAAAATTATATATTTTCTGAAGCAGAGAGAATAAAATGGTGTTAGTTGCAATATATAGGTTGAACTCGATGGACTTGTGTCTTTTTTCAACCTGACTAACTATGTATGTGCAACAGTTCATCAAAGCCAAATTTTCAGTAAATAATGAATTCAAATTTTAGTGCACACTAATACAACCTTTTACTGGGTCAGGTCTATATATTTACATAAAATCAAAGGGATACTGGGATAATAGGAACATAAACTGATAATATCTCATTTGTTGAATAAAACTGACATTAAAGTCAAAAGGGTTTTAGGGCTTGTGCACACCGAAAGCCTGTGCGTTCCAGAGCGGTAGCTGCTGGAACGCACTGCTTACCGCTCTGGAACGCACACGCTTTCAGTGTGAACAAGGCCTTAAGCTTTTCCAAATGCTGATAAAATCACTTACAGTAGCTGCTGCTCCTTGATGCTTCAAAGTTTTAGCTTCCTGCAGAATTATCTGATCCCCTGAGCACTGGCCCTGATATTCTGTTTTAGGGTGGGCCTACTTTTCCTTGCAGGGCCCCATGGAGCCATCCTTGTGCTAGTAAGCTGTGTGTGTCTCCACAAACACACAGGCACAGCAAATCAAGATACTCCCCTGCTCCTCCTTCCTGCCTTCTCCAAGCTAGTAGATGGACAGCTAAAAATGTTACTCTGATAAACTGTTGTGCTAATTTTATGTGACAT